GACAAGGGACAGAGAACAGAAGCCTATTTGAAATCAAGCTTCTACTCCCTGGGGAATCACATGGATCCTAGCAACACTGAACAAAAGGCTATAGACAAAGCGATTGAGGATTCTGGACCATAAACCATTTTTCTATCTCTGGGCTGTATACATTCACACACTTCACCGTCCTACATTAGCACTGTCTCCCAGGCCCATACATGATGCTCCTAACGGGGCAAACTGTAAACACCGGGATTTTCGGTTTCAGGAGGATCTGAGTTTACATAATGAGTTTGTTATCAGATCCTTTGGTCTCTGTTATAGAAAAGATCCAAAGACTGGGGGTGCTGTTCATCAACCAGAGGAGTCTGACCTGCAGGAAAGAGGCTGAGACCGAGCCCAAGGTCAAGCAGTCAGAGCTGTGCAGGGAGACAAGAAACCAAGTAGGACAAATCTTACTAATGATACTTTGCTAACCCACTTAGACTAAACCAACACCCTAGTGTGCACTCAGGTGAACCCCACGTGGACAAGGGAGTGGTGGGGTGTTGGAACACTGTTCAAAACCCCTCCACCACCCACACCGTAACCCATCTAGCAGTCTGAGCAGCTCATGGGATTTCTAAGGGAAGCGCCGGAGCTGGGAGATTAACTATCAAAAGATTCTGTCTGCCTATGGTCACGGAGAAGCCGAAGATGGAAAAAGAGAAACAGTAGGAAGAGCCACCGACCTCTGGGGCCCACGGAAGACTTTGAGCAGAGTTTTAATTCGTGGAAATAGAGAGAAAAACATATCGATCCTTGGAAGAGAGGGGAAATGAAAAGGAGACCAGCAAGCAGTCTGCCCAGGGGGATAACTGGAGTTGGAATTTCTTTTTTTTTTTAATTTAATTTTATTTATTTGACAGATAGAGACACAGCAAGAGAGGGAACATAAGCAGGGGGAGTGGGAGAGGGAGAAGCAGGATCCCCACTGAGCAGGGAGCCCGATGTGGGGCTCGATCCCAGGACCCTGGGATCATGACCTGAGTCCAAGGCAGACACTTAATTGGCTGAGCCACCCAGGTGCCCCGGAGTTGGAATTTCTTGTCTCGACACCACTCATCCGGTCTTCTCACTTGTTAGCATGATCCAATACACTGGCTGAGAAACACTTTTCTAGTCTCTGCTCTACACTGCTTGGTGATGAACACAATGGTTTTTGAGAGACCTGAAATACAGAGATTACAGTAATACCACCTGGGTACCAACACTGCAGTCATCAAAAAGTAGACAACGGGCAGCTCTCCTGAACTGTCATATATCCAGATCAACCCGTTCCACGTCCTATTTTGAAGATGCAATGCTCTAAGTCAAGACCCCCAGCTTAAGTAAGGAGGCATTTTATATACACAGTGCCTCGATTTCCCCCTTTGCACAGAAGACCAAAAAAAAAACCCCACACTAAATGGAAATGGAGCACCCCCTGGCCTCCACTAGCAGTGGTACCACACGGCCTAACAGCTGGGGAGTTTCCAAGATCCATAAAGACTAGATGACAGACACACAAGAGGTCAAGCAGGTGCCTCTGGAAACAGCCATTCGAGACACATTCTGTGCCTCAGCCCTCCCCTCCCCTCTTGGTCTGGGCTCCGTGCCCCTGATGGGAAAGAAAGAACTTGAGTGCAGAGAGGACATTCTCTCCTCTTCACCAAGCCAATGAGGTTTGCTGAGTGATAAAGACCTGCTCCTTCTGCAGTTTTCTTCTCAACTGTCATGGCGTCAGCAGGTTTTATGGGAGGAGAGATGAGGGAATGGATGGGCGTACTACCCAGAGCAATTTTTGGATGCAATTATGAGACTCCACTGGCACTGCTTTAGGATCTGCAAGTTGGAGCAAGTTGCCCTGCACTTAGAGGAGGGATTAACTAAACCAATTTCATCTAAATCAATTTGCACTGTTCAGATGATATATTCACAAAGCAACCGAGTCACCCTGATTTGTGGCACTGCTTCCCAGGGGTGGCCTTGCAAGGTAGAACATGCTAGATGAGAAGTCTAGTGGTCACAAAAGAGGGAGGGAAACAATCACCCCTTCTTGTCCCTGGCCTCTCCCCCTGCCTTGCTCCTCCCTGTCCTACTCCTGGAGCTGCAAGTAAGGAAGTAGGCCTCAAACAAGCAGGAGGCCAAAGTGCTAGGCCAAGACTGGGGCCTCAGCCCGGTCAGCAGAGAACTCTGCACATTGTAGATGCTTAATAAATATTGTTGACTCACCGCTGCTAGATGCTAATCATGCTTATATTGCCATGCCTACAATTATTTATGCCACTTTTCAGTAGAAATTAACTAACTGCCCCCATATAGACTAAAAATGGGTGAGGTTATGTTTTCAAATGAGTCTGACTCAGACTGTTAGGTTGGAATACATTAGATATGATTCAAGCCTCGACTTAAAATAATCACCATTACTCTGCATGCCTAGTTTTATGCTTGTTTTCATTCAGTTGTACATGCATTAGGAACAACAACAACAACAACAACAACAACAACAAAGGAGTCCTGAGTACCGTGATGGATTTGGCTGCCAGGGGGACTAATAATGGCAAGTTAAGGTTTCCAGTAAACTAGGGTTCCTCCTTGCACCCAGTCAGTCTATTAGCCCAATAAAAGGTAAATGAGGTACTTTATTTGAAAAGTATAATGCTGAAGGTTTATAGAACCCTTTCATCTTCAAAGGACCAAGCCGAGACTCACAATACCCAGTACACAATATTATGCCTTTTACACAAGTGCATCAACTATGAAAGAAAGGTCATAGGAATGTCCTAAGGCCATAAAGCCAATGTAACACCAGATTTGGGATAAACTCTCTGATCTTCTTGACTCCTAGACCTGTATTTCAACCACATAAATCAAGTTGTGAGGAACAGTCAGGAAAAATCTAATTCACATTTTATATCTGTATTAAGTTAATTGATTGGGCAGGAATATATAAAAATAGCCAAGACTGTTTCCCCCTTAGGGCAGTTAGTATGAGTGGAGACGGGTGAAGGGTGAAGAGGGGGACATGAGGGTTGGGGTAATCAGCTGAGGTTAAGCCAGAAGGAGGGGAGGGGAGCTCTCTATTCAGCATGCCCCTTCTATTGGAACATCGCCAGAGAAGCGATTAGAGTGTCCTGGGAGGGAACAGAATAGGGTTAAAGGCAGCCCTTATGGCCCAACTTGAGAATCCAAGGAATCAACCCACACACATGACTTGTCTATTTCAACAGACTCCACTATATTCCTGTATAAGGGCTCCTCCTCACAGCCACACAACCATCACTATCCACCCGCTCCACACTCAGAAATCCTCAAAAAGGCAAACGGGTTAAGAAGCAAGAGGCTGCAGGGCTGGGCGGCAGGCGGAGTGCACAGGTTGGTGGGGGGCAGTGTAGGGGACGGATAGGGTCTGGTGGGAGATCTGGGTGGGCAGGTAGATGTGTGACGGCGCAGGAAGAAGGCAAGTGAGCGCGAAGGCGGGTAGGGGAGTGTGGAAGAGAGAAAGTGAAAAAACTAAAGACCCCAGGATCCCAATTTCCTGCTCTGCGAAACAACAAAACAAACAAACCCCCCCCAACAAAAACAAAAAACGCCTCCAGAGAAAGAACGCGCTACACACCAAGTACTAAGTAACCTAAACCTTAGCATCACCAAAAATGTTTCTGTAAATCCACTCCGCCGCTAGTTACTTAATTCTTAGGAGCCAGGAATGGAAAAACCCCACCTCTCCCCGGTTCAGTCGCAGTCTGTCCTCTGGACATAGGTAAGTTCGCCCTCTCCCCCACTGGGCTGGTTTCACAGCTAGGCCAGAAATAAGGAACCACCCAGGCGGAGACTGGAGGATCGCTCCCCTGGCGGAAAAGGGATTAAGTTTCGCCGGGCCTCCCCGCCGGCGGGGTGTCCGCAGCATCTCGGGCTGCCGCAGCAGCCACCGCCGGGCGGAGGGCCGGCCCAGGGGCGCCGCCCGGGCCGAGGACGCTGCGGGCCGCGGGAGCGTGGGAAGGCGGCGGTGCCCTTTCCCAGACTCACGCCCAGGCGCCGGGGGAGCCGCTCCACTGCCCTGCGCCGGGCCGGTCGCGGCGCTGGAGGCCTCGGGCCGCCCCCACCCCGCACCCCGGAGTGCAAACTCCGTCCCAAGAGGGCAGCGACGGGCGCCCGGGCCAGGCCAGGGAGGTGGGGGGGGTGGAGAGGCCGCCGCCGCCGCCGC